AGGGGTGGAATAAAGGAAATCTCATACTTGCCCCTGTATGATCTAGCAGAGATAAGTTGGATGCCGGTGATCTTAAGACTGGGGATCTATGGCCCGTGTGTTCTCCTTCTGTTTGTGCTGTGGAAGAGTGGCTTTGATCTGCATCTCTAACTTCCCCCTCGAGTGAGAGATCAGCGTTGGTTTCTGTGTGTTCCTTCATTTGCTTGGTGTTGTCTTCCTTCCCTGCTGCCATTTGTTGTGCTGCCTTTTTGGAGCGGTTTTTCACCCCTTTCTGCTTGCCTCCTGCCATCGAGGCTATCTTATCCGCCAACCGCTGCTGTACCACTTCCGCTTCTGTCTCTCTCTGTCCCTCTCTGGAGCCGCCGATCAGAAGTTACGAGCAAGGAAAGGAGTCCGCGCCCGCCGTGTTGCGAGGCACCCGGCTCACACGTCCATTACGGATGATGTCACGGACACCTCGCGCATGCGCCCCACCATGTTGGGCTTCACAGACCTCCAGATGTGTTACCCATTCTTTTTTTCCTTGCCCTGGAACCACTAACCCAGACATTACAGGACTAGACATGGCAGGTTACTCTCACAAACTCTCAATGTTCGCGGATGATATCTTGCTTTCTCTTATATCTCCCCATATATCTCTTCCTAACTTGATGTCTACCTTATCTCAATTTGAAACTACCTCGTGTCTTTGAGTCAATACAGCGAAATCCCATGCATTGGACATAACCCTTTCCCCCTCCTCCAAAGTTCAGGAGAACTATTCTTTCACTTGGGTGTCTTCCCTCCCCTATTTAGGAATTCATATTAGCCTTCTCTACTCTTCCTTTTATTAGGCCAATCACCCAGGATTGATACACAAGCTTAAACTCCTTCTTGCCTCATGGTCACATCATAACATATCTTGGATCGGCAGGATACACTCTGTCAAAATGACCGATCTCCTGAAACTTTTATATTTTTTTCGGGTCCAAGTTCCAGCCCACATCCTTCGTATTTTACAAAGGCATATACTATGATTCATATGGGGAAAATGCCGCCCTCGGGTTAACACACATGTGCTATATAGATCCAAACTGCAAGGAGGCTTGTGTGTTCCCTATCTTCCGAATTACTATAAGGCATCTCAAATAGCCCCACTAGCTGCTTTGTCCGCTCATGACAAAACACCTTTTTGGGTCACGTTAGATGCGATTGTTTCCCATCCTGTTCTGGTTTCCAACCTACCCTGGCTCCCATGTAACGCCCGTCCATTAAGATTAAGCCCCATTATTTTGCACACCTTAAAAACCTGGGACTCGGTTTAATATTTGGGATCCTTAGCATCTCCACCTCTTTTCAATCACATTCTGCCTGTTATTTTCCCCTGGAATGGACAATCCCAATCAATTCTCTTGGACTAATGCAGGTTTCAAGACATCCAATCCTTATGTGACTCTGGAATTCGACCCTTTTACCTCTATTCGATTGTCCCATAAGGCACCCCTATCGGAATCTTTTCGCTACCTCCAATTGACACTCTTTGTCCACTCACTTCTTCTACACCACTCCCCCCCCCCTACCCCCTATACTTTATCTCCATTCGAACGTCGCTGTCGTACTCATCCCCATTAGAGCTGCAGCTAACGATTATTTTCAAAATCGATTAGTTAGCCGATTATTACGTTCGATTACTCGGTTAATCGGATAAACAATTTAAAAAAATTAAAAATGGCTCCACTGATGGACTACTAGTTTGTATTGAGATTGTAGTCCATCACAGGAGCAAGCTTGGAGCGGTGGAAAAAAATAGTGTGGTGTGCAATATAGTGAAAAGGAAAGTGTAAATTTATACAGCAATGAATGCAGAATGGCACCGGCTATAGAGGACTACAAATCCCAGCAATAATACATTATACATCACAATGCAGAATATCACCAGCTATAGAGGACTACAACAAATCCCAGCAATAGTACATTATAGCTGGCAGTATTCTGCATTGCGCTGTATAATGTATTATTGCTGGGATTTGTAGTGCAGAATATCACCAGCTATAGGGGGATACAACAAATGCGGCGTGAAGAGCGTGGATGCGGGCGGGCGGGTCTGGCAGCGGCGAGCGCGAGGTGGGGAGGAGGTGCGGCGCGCAGCGTGTGTGGAGCCGTGAACAGGGCCAACTGATCGGAGGCCGATTAATCGATTATTGAAAAAGTTGACAACTTTTTCAATAATCGATTATAATCGATTATGTCGATTAGTTGTTGCAGCCCTAATCCCCATGCCCCAGGCCTAATCACTCTGATCCAATCTTCACTGTTGGCCTCGTTCTTCGTTACGCAAACCTCCTATCAGTCGTCATGGTCAAAAGACTTGGGGTGTGATCTTACGGACAAAGACTGGTCGTCCATCTGGAGTAATATAGCATCCTGCTCTAGAAATATTCTAGCCTTGGAAAATTCTTATAAAGTACTCTTCCGATGGTATACCCCAGCCCGACTGCATAATATTATCCCTTCTTATTCTGTGGACTGCTTTTGTGGTTCTGTCCCGGGAACGATGGGTCATATCTGGTGGGAATGTCCTAAGGTTCGGAGACTTTGGATCCGAGTCTATCCTCTTATTAACATTGTACTTGGCTGCAATTTATGTAAGGACCCCACTGAGGCCTTGTTGCATAAGACGATACATGGGGTGTACATGGAAGGACCATCGGGCTTTGATCACCCACACCTTTATGGCCACATAAACAGACTATTGCTCAATCATGGGAATCCCCAACCCTTAGCTTTCAGGCAGTAAAAAGCAGAATTACAAACACTATGATAAATGAAAAAATATCACTGCTACTGGCTGACTCCCATGGTACATTTTTTAACATATGGGAACCCTGGATGACATATGCGAGCCCCCAATATTTTGATGCCACTTTAGTGCCATCTTTGCCCTGGAGCCCATCTGTTGGGATGTCTTCCCCCCACCGACCTACACTGACCTGCATCTTTACCTATTCTTGTTTATTCTCTTTTATAATCCTATCTTTCTCGACCTTTCCCCTTTGCTTTCTCTCGTTATCTATTTCTCATGGTATACTAAACCCTGTGTCCCTCACACCCCCCCCATGGTGGGGTTATAGAAACCTAAATACCCCACCGTTAATCTGCCCAGGTAGTTTAGTGAACGTGAATTCAAATACCTACTATAGGCTGCATTCTCTCATGACATGTAGTGATATGCTGTACTCATAATGTAACTGAATGAGACAATATTCCGGAAGCTTAATTTTTGCTTTTTTCTTAAACCCTCGGATTTTATATTATTTTCTGTTATATGTTTCCATTTATGTTCTTATGTTGCTTATGGCTGCTGCATCAGCTCATTAAATTTATCGTGCATGATGTAATGTACGTGTATATTCCCCGTTTTTTTTTTAAAACAATAAAAAGATTGTGAAAGAAGTGGAAAGTTTGATCATTGACTAGTCAGGTTTCTTGTTCTATTACCCTAAAAGAATAGGAGATGAAACATGATTTGCCACTATAGGTTTGTTCTTTGCTTTGTAAAAAAAACAAAAAACTTTAAGAAACCTAAAATCTTCTATAAAAAGACCCAGATATATGTATAAAGAATGTAATTTTGTAAGGTTAGGAAAGAGTATTGAATGTTTGTATGCTAGAGGCTGTTGTAAGTTTGCAGCATTTGGTAGACATGTTGACAGTAGAGCAGCAATCAACATCTTGTATCTTATAAAGAATGTGTGTGATAATTACCTCACAGCTTTCCTGCTTATTTCATGAATATTTACAGTGCAGCGTTTGCACTTTCACATTAATGTTGTCCCTAGTTGGTATATAACTTAATCATCCTCCTACATTTTTTGTCATGTTTTTCCTGTGTTGGCGGAGATTGTGACATAGAATATCATTTATCCCCATCACTTATCTGTCATCTAAAGTAGTGCTTCCTCCTTCCTGACAGTTTGATGACAGATTATATTTGGAGAATGCCACAAAGTCCCTAAGTAAAGACTTCCCTGCATCGCCATGCATATTTCATACAGGCATATTCAGCATACAAGACACACTGATGATTTAGATTCTATTGCTTTAAACATCCTGTAGTAATTTAGTGAGTGAACATGTTCATTGTTCTTCTTAAAGAGGTTGTGCAAGCAAGACATGAAAAACACTCCTTTATATAAGGTTCATATACGGTAAATAATACACTTGTATTTTTCTCTGTAGTGTATTCTAAAATCCGTGTTTGTGTAAGTCTTCATGTTTATCAAATTCTGTTCATTTTGGTGACTGGGGAGCCATCTGGGGTGTGTTTTTAATCTGATCTTCCCAACTCTTCAGGTTTTTTTTCTTCTTCTCAGAACCGCTTCTAGTTTAGAAGCCTGTAAAGAACTGCTGCTTTTGCTTAGCGTTCACTAGCTGTAGGGTGAAAGTGCTGCTTATGATTTATTTCATAATTACCTGAATTTTTGCTTTTATGAATCGTTGTTGCATGTTTCAATGTGAAAAGAATTTTGGCTTTCAGTGTTTTCCAGAGTTCTTTCAGTGAGTAGTTAGGTGTAATGATGCTGGTGATTGTGATATGTATTTGTAAATGCATTCATTATAATTAGAGATGCATCGATGCCATTTTTTTCAAGACGAGTACGCGTACCAATACTTTTCCGAAAGTACCCGCTGATACCAATTACCGATAATTTTTTTTGTGTGTCATGTGACCGTTTTTCTAAAACAATAAAAACTAATGCTTTTAGGACAGTGGTGAAGAGCCAAGACTCAGTCCCAGCTGCAAACGCTGCGCCCCTGGTAGTTCTTCCATTGACTCCAAGCTGTAGAGAGATTACAAATCTCAGCAATACATTTTACAGCAATGCCGAATGGCAAATTTTCAATTCCAAGCAATATTTAATAAGTGTGCAAATATTACTTTAAACTTCCAACTTAACATATTATGAAAAATAAAATATAATATGCCAAAATAAGAATTTTTTGTTTTTTTGTTTCTTCAGATGTGAGCTCTGGGTCTGTAAGTGGAACTCTTCAGTCTCTTGAACACACAAAGAAACCTGGGGATGACTTTGACATGTTTGCACTTACCAGAGGGAGCAATCTAGCTGATCAACGCAGGAGGTGAGTGAAGGATTTGGGGATTTGTTCAAACCCAAAATTAGTAACTAAACTTAATTCTGCACTATAATTCTTCTAACTTACTATGTCTGTTCATATTTTACACAAATACAGCTGAGTGTGTAAGAGAACCATTTAGGTAAAAGGAAAGAAGATAGAAACTGCTTTTTCTGTGTGACTGTCTCACAGGGCTCACCAATCAAGTCTTAGATTTGATGGAAGCTAGGTACCCTTGTCCCAAAACACCTGCCACATGTAGGAAATACTAAACATGCAAAATGTAAGCAACGGCTTTCCTTGCCGTCAGGAGTTTGTCCAGTGGGTTCAGCCTCTGGTCTCGGGTCCTCAGGACAAAGTAGTGTCATGGAATTTTACCTTTTCACCGCACTGTAGGAGAGTTGATTAGTGGCTCCCAATTAAGTTTGTATACTATCACGACAGTGAAACAACAAGCATTCACAGACACGCAGTTCCGTTAATAGCGGTTCTACTGCTACGTACTTGTGTTATTTATCTTTTAAAAGTGTTTACATATGCATATCTGTAAAAAATAAGTCAAGGCAACTAGACCTGCTGTATTTTTCTTGAATACGTTTCACTGGTCATCCGACCAGCTTTCTCAATTCAGAATGACTTGTAAAAAAATTATCTGGGAATAAATATGGTTAATGCTGCTCCAATTGACATACTTTGTTAGTCGCAACCAGGCGTTGAATGCATTTGCCTAATTGGAGCTAGGAGGTGTTAATAACCTGCCCAAAGATAGGTGTTGTCCATTTTTACATAAATGGCCTCTTTCACACCTCCTTTAAACCAGTCCTTCTCCCTATCTAGGATATGTACTTGACTGTCTTCAAAGGAGTGACTTTTTTTCCTTTTAGATGTAGGTATACTGCTGAATCCTGACCAGAGGGTTTGGCTCTTCTATGCTGTGCCATACACTGGTGAAGCTGCTGTTTTGTTTCACTGATATACAATTCTGAGCACTCCTCACTGCACTGGACTCTACTGCATACACAATGTTCTTCATCTTGTGTTTTGGTGTTGGGTCTTTTGGGTGAACCAGTTAATGCCTCTGTGTATTGCTAGGTTTGAAGCAGACAGGGATGTGATGTTTTTTTAAAACTCTTCTGAGTTTCTCATACACCCCAGCTACATATGGGATGACCAATTTCTTCCGTTTGTCATGCTTTTCACCCTCACGGGTACTCTTGGCATTCTTTCCTCTTCTTTCTGTTTTGACAAAAACCCAGTCTGGATACCCGCAGGTTTTAAGGGCCCCCCTGAGGTGTTTGCATTCCTTAGTCTTGGCCTCTGTTCTGGTGGAAATTTTCTCTGCTTGGTGGTGTAGAGTCCTGATGACTCCCAGTTTGTGGTCTAGAGCCTTGGTTCTCAACTGGTGAATCGTAACCCAAAAGTGGGTCGCGACCCCATTTTCAGTGGGTCGCCGCATGCCTTCCACTTTTCTAGGTAAGAGGCTCTTCAGCCTCCCCCTGGCGCAGCACTGTCCTCACACCTAGCAGCCATTTAAAATATGTTGACAAGCATCAGCTTGAGATGGGATGGGGCTATGGCCGTGAGGGAGCTCCATCCATACAAGTGTGTGAGAATGTGTCTGTGGTTGTGCATGCATGTTAGTGTTTTTGAGGGCCCATTTACACTAGTACAGTGCATTAATCACATAGTACCGTGCGATTTAACGGGGCGCAATTAACGGGGTCCTGAGGTTACATAGGTTGAGAACCACTGGTCTAGAGGGTGGAGGGAGTTAAATAGCAGGTACTGGTCCGTGTGTGTTGGTTTTCGGTAGACCTCTATTTCCAGCCTCCTTCCCTCTTCTGTTACTAAACAATCCAAGAAAGCCAGTTTGTTGTTTTGCATACCTTCCCACATAAACTTGATGTTATAATCCACTGAGTTGATATGGTCAGTGAAAGCCTGTAACTCTTGTTTGTCAATCTGAACCCAAGTGTCATCAACATATCTGAACCAGGGCCCTGCTTTCTACTTCCTCCATGTACAGGTTCACCACAATAGGTGAAACTGACGATCCCATGACACAGCTATGTTTCTACCTGTAGAACTTGTCCTTGCACTTGAAATAGGTGGTACTTAGGCCAGTGGTTCTCAACCTTTCTAGGGCCGGGACCCCTTGGTAACATTTGCCAAGTTGTGGTGACCCCCAGCGGTAAAATTTAGGGATGACGCGGCTGGTGCAGCGACATCTGGCGGCGTGGCGGGAGAACTGACACTGCTGCGCTAGGAGAGGGCTGAGGAGGACTCACCTAGCACAGCAGAAATCACACAGCGACCCACAAGAGCAACCCCATCTGGCCACCCTAGTACACTACTGCCCTCTCCTAGTCACCCTTACATAGAACATCACCTCAAGCTTACCCCCAACCACAGCTATTACCCCCCTTGCTGCACCACCATTACCCACCACAATCTAGCCCTCCTTTACAGTTCTCACACATGCCTGTAGACACCGTTACTAGTAAATGAATACACTATACAAGAGGGGGTAAAGTACCTTTTCACAACATGGTATGGACACCGTCACCCATTAAAAGACCTTCAGCAGCTTTAACTGATTTGTAGCCAATTCCAGGAATCGTGCTCAGGACCCAGTGTCCATAGAACTGTCCTCCTACGTACGCCGTCAGAATAAAAAAAAAACACAGACAAAAACCCACCATAGGAATGCATAGCTAGATTCCTATTGGCTATTGAACTTTGCAATAGCAAACAGCAAATTAGCTATTGCAACTGCCCTCTGCTGCTGTCAATCACTAGAAGCGGACCTAATGGAGAACTTCAGGCCCCCTTCTGCTGATTGGCAGCTATTGCAAAATTAAATAGCCAATAGGAATCTAGCTATGCATTCCTATGGATTTTTTTTTTCTGACTTACGGTGGCCGGTGGCCCCCGATGTCAGAAAAAAAAAAAAAACGATCACAGGGAAAGGTTTACGTGGCTTGATCGAGCAGAGTAAACCTTTCCGGGAGAAAGTGTTTCTCTCCCGGGCGGCTGGAAGCCGCTATCTAATAGTGGGAGATTCCCGGGCGACCCCTGGCAAATCGTCATTCGACCCCCGACGGGGTCGCGAATCACAGGCGGAGAACCACTGACTTAGGCAAAGGTCCTATAACGCACACACTTGATCTGGGTTAAGTTCTGTTCTGCCTAGGGTGTTGTCTAGTAGCAACTGTTTTCTCACTGTTCAAATTGCCTCTGGCAACTTGTGGTAGGTATGCTGGTGAAGAGGGATGTGACATCATAGGATACCATTGTTTCCTCTGTGCCCATTATTAAAGGAGAACTATGAGATGAGTGATTTCCACTCGCCTCATAGTTCTAGCCGACCTGTGACAATGAGACTGTCACAGGTCGGCTCGGTAGATCGGGAGGTGAGCGAACACATACCAGGTTCGCTCACCTCTCGATCCTGTCACGGCTCTCTGCCGTGACAGGGGGAGGGGCTGGATTCCCCTCTCCCCGCTCCGATCTGCCAGCGCTGACTGGCAGAACGGACGGGGGAGGGGGCGGGTACAGCTGGCTCTGCCTCTAGATAGGCAGAGCCAGCTGTCACGCAGCTGGGCGGATCTCAACGTCGATGTCGGGATCCGCTCCGGCTGCGGCGTCTCAGTATACCGCGAGCTGCAGCTCGCGGTATACTGAGCTTAGGGTAACGGGAGGATGCTTGTTTGTGTCCTCCCGTTACCCTAAGGAGAACTATGGGGAAAAACACTGACCCCATAGTTTTCCTTTTTAAGTTCTTGATTTTGGTTGTGAAATCCTGAGAGTTCTGTATGTGCTGTTGTGTATTTCCAACCAAAGGGGCAAGGACTCTGGATAAGTATTTTGCCATTTATAAGTCAGAGTTTATGCTGCTGACAATTGGCCTGAGACGGGTCCTATCCTTATGTATTTAAGGAAGTCCATATATACACAGAGGGGCTTCACCAGGGTAGATGCGATGACGCATACCAGGATCAATGGCTTTGTCCTTTTCCAGCTGTTGTAGTAGATCTATAGCTTTCTTCTTGTAACCGCTGGTTCGGTCCCTTCTTAGGGCTCAGGGGTGTGGAATTCCTATCGCCCGATGCCCGGGACATGCAGTTTCGGGCGCCGGGCGAGTATTTTTTTTTTTCTGTTAGCTTTCTGTACACCAGCAGTGTACAGAATGCATCCAGGTTGCCATATTGTATTGACAGTTTTAGAAAACTACAGTGGCTGCAGTTTGAGATAGAAAGGTAATTTTTAATTACATTTAATTACAGTATGGCTTGTGTC